CCTCCCCTGAGGTCATCTCTGTGGGAATGTGTGTCCAGGCCCTTTCCGGAAGTGCTTACTAGAGGAGAGGACGGCCCATCACCCCCAAAGCCAAGCCCGGGAGGAGCTGGGCTTCCTTGGGGAAGAGCTGGAGGAGAGGTGAGGTCTCCCAGCGCCCCGCCCTAGCAGACCAACCCGGGACTTCTCAGAGTACCGGCTTCAGGGTTAAACCTTGTCAGGGATAAGTCTGAATTCCATTTGATTTTCCTCCCTGGTGATGGGGGGCGGGGGGAGGCACACGCCCAGCGCTGTCACACGAGGGAAAACATGATGTCATCAGGAGCTGCTGAGACGCAGCCACGGCCGGCAGAGTCGGTACCTCCCAGCCCACCGTCTGCATCCCGAGCCAGGCCCTGAGAGGTCGCCCTGACCCGCTCCTGTCCCCCCTGCGGGGGGGTCTTCACGCCGAGACAGTGCAGGAACCGCGCGGGCGCCCCGTCACACCCACAGAGAGAAGAGCCTCCCTGACGGAACGTCAGGCCAACATTCGCAATGACTCTAAACCCCGAGGAAGAACAATGCACGGAGCGGGACCCAGGGGCTGAGCGCTCCGTGTGCTAGACACCGAGGCCACTCATTCAGTTCCCAGGGCCCTGTCTGTGAGCCTGGCCCTGAGCTGGACAGTGGGACACAGTGGGGACGAGACAGACGCCGGCCTCGCCCTGCGCCCTGCCGTTCTGCTCCCCGCCGGCTCTGCCTCCGGACCAAGCCTGTGGGTGGAAGGCTTTCCTCTGCTCGCCGGCCAGCGACAGCCCCTCCGGCCCACGCCCAGCCCGTGCTGCCCCCGCCCAGCCGCACCGCTCACGGGCCTGCCAGGGGCCGCTTCCACCCGAGGCGGTAACTCTCCGGTGATTGGGTGGTGGTATGAGAAGTAACCCAAAGGCCTGTTCAGAAAATGAGATCAAAGTTGGCAGCCTCCAAAAAAAAGAAAGAAAGAAAGAAAAGTTGGCAGCCTCCTGGGCCCTCCCCAGACGGATCATTCAGTGCAGGCCAGGCTGCAGCGGTGCCCCTGCTTCTTTTCTTTCTCTGCTGTCTTTCTCACCTGCCTGGCTGCCCCATCCAGGTCTCCTCTTTCGGAAGCTTCCTGTGCCAGGGGCCTGCCCACCTCTGGGCCCACCCTGATGGAGCCAGGTGCCACCTTCCTCAGGCCGTTCACCCACATCCTCAGGGGCCCGGAACCCCTCAGCCCAGCACAGAGCCCTCTGCGAGGTCTCTTCTGTGGCTGCGAGGCTCCGTGTGGAGGTGCTCAGATGTGCCCCCTTCACCGCAGTCCTCCACACTCCCACCTCCTCGGCCACACCAGCCCCGGCTCCTTTCCTGGGTTCTGCTGCTGACCGCCCTTGGCCGTTCACAAGCCCAGCCTGACAGCCTGCAGGGTGAATGAACATGCCGTGGTGAGTGAACATTTTAAAGGCACACACAGAAATGGTGGCTCCGAGCTGAAAATACCCTCGAAGCCACAAACTGTTACCTCAAAGAAGCCAGAGCCAGACCTCTGAGGTTTGTCGTTTTTGTCTTGTTTTTTTAAGGCACCGAAGAGTTCAATGAGTGAATGAATCAAATCAGCTCTTTTTTTTTTTTTTGAAACTTTTTTTTATGGATTTCAGAGAGGAAGGGAGATAGACACATCAGTGATGAGAATCATTGATTAGCTGCCTCCTGCATGCCCCCTACTGGCGGGGGTGGGGGGGGGGGATCAAGCCCGCAACAGGGACATGTGCCCTGTGCTGTAATTGTGGAATTGAATCTGGGATCCTTTAGTCTGCAGGCCGACGCTCTATCCGCTGAGACAAACCAGCCTGGGCGGAAATCGGCTCCTCTTAGATAATGTCTCCTTCAGGAAATGGGACCTCAAGAAAAAGGCATCCCAACCACTACCAAATTCCACTGCTTCAAATTAGCCTTACAGACGAGCTAGGACTGTAAGATCCCCCTAGCACCAAAGCTCTGAGCTCGACAGTTCCCCTAAATAGCCTTTTGGAGCGCCCCACATCTGAGTAGAAAATGCCGGCTTCACCTCTGTGCTGTCAGGCCTGGTTCCCTCTTTCTCCTTCCCCTGAAAGGGCCTCTGGTCTTTCCCAGCTGCGGAGTAGCAGGGAACACACAGCTCCCCCCCCCCCCCCCCAACCCCCAGGGCCGATCAGGTGCCACCCGCCAGAGGGAAGGCTGGCCCTGCCCCAGTCGGCTGGCCTCCCGTCCTGCAGGGACACTCCTCTCTCCCAACAGGCAGGGAACTTCTGGAACTTCTAAACAGCACATCCTCACCCGCCCAGGCCCCACAACATCCTGTGCCCCAGTTTACAAGCTTTTAGTGGCAACTCGCACATTTGGCAAACCTTCCCGCGTGGGAGCCACGCCGGCGCTTTTCCCGAGGACCCAAAGGACAAAGGGATACTAGGTTGGGATAGAAATGGGGTCCAGCCGGACAAGCCCCAAGCCTTGGTCCCCTGGGCCACGTCTGGAGCGGTCCGGAGGGACTTGTCCTCGCTGGCCTCCACCACAGGCCGGCCGGTCCCAGGTCTCAGGATGCATCAGTAATTCCAGGCAGCTCCACACCCAGCCCACACTCAGCCAGGACCTGGTCAGGGACTCTCTCTCCAAGTGTCCCAGAAACCTGATGCCTTTTCATGCAGGCTCCGCTGAGGTCTGGGGGGGCGGGGGGGGGGGCACAGCAAGACCCTCTCTGTGGGCTCCTACTGTGTCTGGAAGGTCCAAAAAGCATCTCTCTCCATCAGAGACAGCACCAGATCTCTGCTTTGAGACAACTTTAAAGAGAACGGTGTTTTGAAAGCTCAAGACATGATCTGGGCTTGGCTTTGGTTCTAGCTTCATCTACACCTCTCAAAAC